TCCTGTACACAACCCTCTGAAATGGCTATATACAGGACGGTCCTGTATATAAGGTCTCTGAAATGGCTATATACAGGACGGTCCTGTATATAAGGTCTCGGAAATGGCTATATACAGGACCGTCCTGTATACAAGCTCCGAAATGGCTATATCCAGGACCGTCCTGTAAACAGCTCTCTGAAATGGATACAGGACGGTCCTGTATATAGCCATTTCGGAGCTTGTATACAGGACGGTCCTGTATATAGCCATTTCAGAGAGCTGTGTACAGGACGGTCCTGTATATAGCCATTTGGCGTTGTGTACAGGACCGTCCTGTATATAGCCTCGGCCTTGAAATATACCTACTGTTTAAAACAATAACAGTAATGTCTTATTACTCCCTGGCTTGTATACTGTTACTGATCTGGCATAGGCTGATCTCTGATCGCCAATTTAAAAAAATGCTTGCTTATTCTGCTTATATGCTTATAGTATGGGAGAGCATTAGCGTCGTTTTTAAACCAAATTGTTTTCACCTTGTTTCGCATGTATTGCTAAGCCAAGCTAACAGTCTCCTTGCTATACAGTAGCTTCAGACTAACGTACTGATATGACAGTGGTATTGTCATATATAATCCTCTGCAAAAATGAAACTTATATTATTCCCAATTAGTTTACTATTTCAACTACATCACATTTACAACTAATGCATGTCTAATTATGCTTTCTAAACACTTGATCAGCTTTGAGCAGGACAAAAGGTTGACAATATGTTTTGAACACCGCGGTGAGAAACGAGAAGAAGGCTTAAGGTTAGGGGTTGTTTTTCCTTTAATAAACTGACAGGTTTCAGTTATAAAAATAAAACTGTGTTGCCTAAAGGATAAATAGTCTGGCAGGGTTTTCCTGAGAGGACACAATGTACCTACTGCCTGCCTGTTCACCCTGCCACATCACTACACCCACCAACCATTTTCTAAATTCCCCAGCTGATGTATTTGAAGAGACAGAGCGACTCTGTGCCCAGAGAAACCACAGTCAGTGGAACTGACAGTGGTCTGTCTGCGAGAAGACTCCATGCCAGAGAACACCATGTGTCCTGTCAAAGGCAAAGACAGACAATGTATCTGTCTTATCTTTTAATTGTAACAAGCTTGTGCTTTCTGATGGTAAGGTTTTCGGGCTAATTAGGGAGACAACGGAGAAGAACTGCAGGGATATCATTATGTCACTTTTAACCCAGACTGAAAGAATGACAGAGCAGGGAATTACACCACGAGGAAAACACGAGACCGCAGGGAGGGATAGCTTATCCTCAAAAACAAAACACTGTCAGCGAAGAACATTTATCAGCTTTCTGGTTTGGGACTATAAATGAGTCCCCAACTGCCAATTTCATGTTAGGAGCAAGGATAAAGAAGCAAAGAGAGGCCTGCTTGTATTCTCTGTTTGCCTCTCTATGCATTGTGTGATATATGTGTTAGTGTCCACTGTCCACATCTTTGTTTACATGCTGTCAGGTTACAGGTATTCAGAGATGGCAGGGTGTAATCAGTGGAGACAGAGCTGTGAGTCATACACTGCAGACCAGGTGCTGGAGATCTCTGTGAACACATGGCAGGGGCTGAGGTGTGGTCATACAGGATGTGTTCTTGGTTAGGTGATTTATGGTATGGCAAAAAAGCATCATAAATATTTAAATTTGAAGGTATTATGTCTTTTTTCTTCCGGTCCCATTGCTGTTTGCCACAATGCCTTAGAGATGTAGTTATATAAATAGTGGACATATAGCTAATGGGTGTTGTCAGTGGCTTTTGTTGTGATGTGAGGAAGGCTGTTGTCTAGCTTTTACTTTGTGAATATATCAAGAGACACAAAGATATTTGATCAAAACATGGTTCAATTTGGAAATGTATTGTTTTTGATTACAAGTCGTTGATCTTGAGATCAAAACATATGACTTTCACCCTTTTGTGGTCTGACAAAGTATTTACCTATATTACTGGATATGTAGCAGCTGTAGCATTAGAATACATGTGATTTGATTTCAGTTGTACTTTGAGGTACAAACTGTCGGTTCTACTGTTTATCCATCAATGCCTTTCAACATCATAATGTTTCTCTTATAATTTTGTATTTGTTTTACTATAGTTGAAATCTTGATCCCTGGGTGCCGTACATAATGGTAGCCCACTGCTCCTAACACTAGGATGTGTCAAATGCAGAATGTACATTTCCACTCTTTGGGACTATTAAGGGTATATATATATATATATATATATATATATATATATATATATATATATATATAAAATAGTATGTAATTTGGACAGCATCATTTTGTAAAAAGATACCATCTTATTAATTACATTGCAATCCAATACTGTAAGTGAAATACACCCCTACCTTAGCTCAGCCACGTCATTTTGTAATTCTGCAGTAGTTTAAGCTAAGTTCAAAATAATTCCTAGTGTTCTACTTAATACATTGTATTTAAAGTGCTGGTGTTCCTGTGAATAAAGCCTCCAATTCTGCAGCTGAGGACGATACGGATACAGCATGTGACACAGCGAATACTATACAAAGTAACTGGTGACACGCATACCCCTGAAAAAACTGTCTAGCTGGCCAGGACAATACCCTTCCCCTAGGCTACTTGCAAATGTGTCCTATCAGAAAATAAGGACGCATTAGAACTTCCCTTTAGCTGACATCTCTCATGACCTATTTTCATTACGGCTAACGGTTGGTGGCCAGCTGCTGAGTGCTAAAGGGAGGACAATACACAGATGACAGCACGTACTATGTGATGATAGCTGTTACCAAGAGTCTGACCCAAGCTAAGTGATGACTTATACTAATAGTCTAATTTGAGACTTTCTGCTGAGCAAGGAGAAATAGAGAAGAACACATTATATACCCCGAGGAATAGGAGGCGGTGATATTTATAGTTACATGAGGGACATTTCCCCACAAAGATGGAGGAAAGGAAGTTGGCGATCTCCTGAGAGATGTTAAAAAGGTCAGGCTGGAGACCACTGTAATGACTAGATGGGAAAAGCTTTAGAGCACGGGGCGTACAGCCTCGGGTCCCAAGGGTGCATTTGAAGCCACGCTGAGGCTGAGGCGTGACTGGGTGATATCTCCAGAGGTGATGGGGGGGAAACAGGGAGCCAGGAACTAGGGGACGCAGTAGCACTATTCTACAAGACACAGCCTTGGGGCTAGCTATGAGCGCTCTGCCGGCTGTCCCTGTTGAACCATCATACACGCAAATAAACAAACAGACACAGTAATCAAATTCCTCGCAGCTTGTGTAGCAGAAAGTCCCATACGGCTACTTGAGTGAATTTCCACATCACAAAACCTCAAGTCTTATACACACAGCCCTACCCTAAGGATTCCCACACTGTATTAGGTCAATAGCCTCCCCCTCATCCAGGCATGTGACATTTGCAGAGAGAGTCTTAAAGATGGGGGATAAAGAGGGAGGAGAGCTGGAGAAGGGGGCAGCATGCTCCTCCTCTCCCCTCTTCTCTCATTAGAATGATCTCATCAGTCTTCCCCGTGGAACGGAGAGACATGTCAGGGTTTATTAATCGCCCCAGGAAATATTATTGACCCGGACCTTCTGCTCCTTCTCTCCCTGCTGCAGTCAGTGTCTCTGCTCCGCTGCCCCCACATTCCTCCGGTGTCCTGCCTGGACACATTACAGGACACTGCGGCACAGCGTGGAGGCTTCAGCACAGTGTCTTCATTCACTATGCACTTGGCCTTAGCTTTCATTTCACTGCAGCTGCAGAGCACCACACACACACACACACACACACACACACACACACACACACACACACACACACACACACACACACACACCTGCAGCCTTGGGGAGACAAAGCACACCCTGCTCTCTTTATGGGGAGATGCAGCTCTGCACTTAGATTCTCTGAACTTTATGGAAATAAAAAGAACTGCCTGGATCTTAATGTTTACTGGTTCCCAACCTTAGATTTCAGAAGAAAGGAGGTGCTCAAATCAATGTGATGGGAAACCTATTCTGAATGCTCAAACACGATAATCGATCGAAGATGGTCTTTTATCCCCCCTCCTCTGCATTTGTCTACTGGAAGAAGAATGAAGGGATGATCAGATTCATTCAGACTTATGAATGTCACTCATAGAGCTCATGGTGCTGCTGCGACCGTGCATGTGCGCGTGTGCGAGTGTTTGTGTTGGGGGAAGGATATCAAAAAGTGAAGGGGGAGGTGGCAAAGAGCAGAGCATGAGGGTGTAGGTGTTAAGCCTATGGCAGCCTGATTCTAGACCTTGCTCACCATGATCGGATACATCCAGTTTGGCTCGGCTTAGCCACACGACATCAGCTGACACCCTGGTGTGTGTGTGTGTGTGTTGTGGTTTCTAAGGTATAGCACATTAAGACCCTACTCATGCTATATCCTGGAAATCCCACATTTCAGCATTGCCACGGAAAACAGCTGAAGGAAAACAGTGTTATCAGTCTCATTCTAATAATGCACTGATCAAAGCATGCCTTTATTAGAGGAGTAAGTAGCAGCATTGGGTATGAATGAAGGACACGTGATTTCTTTTAATATTTATTTATTTAGAAATGGAAAAATCGATGTTTCCTTGGCCTATTATCTTTTGGAATGTTTTTCTCAATGGGTTGGTGAGCATGTTATCATGGCAAGCCTTGTTTGATCAAATATTGGTGGATTGTGCCTCCTCATGGACATGTTAGGCATTACACTGTGTGCTTTATGACAGGACTAATAAATGACCAGGATATGAGTGTGCTGTTCCATTGTGTCTCCATGAACTTTGCACCGATGAGCACATTCCTGAAAGCAACAGTCATGAATTAAGAAATATGCCTCAGATCGGTCAATAGAGTTAGTGCTCCCTAAATGGTTTTATTATCCAGCAGCTATGTTCTCACAAGGCTTAACGTTGCAATCACTACATTTAATATCCAATTTAATTTTGTTTTCCTGCAGTCACAATGGTCCCACTTCTGTTTTTGGTGGCAACCACAACATCATCTAATTCCACTGGCAATGGCAACCATACAAAAGGTAAGAATAATAACAGGAGACATGTGAGACTGAGAAATTTGAGGTACCAACTAAATCAAATTAGTATCCACTGCAGGCATCTTCTTCAGACTTCCTCAGCACACGCATTGCTTAATAATAGCCTTTTCTAGAGCCTTAATAATTACCGGGTCACAATGAACTTCAGCAGCCCTGGACCATCATTTACGGCTTATTGTGCGTCTTTGTAAACACAGCTAATAGCTGGCTGTGTGGCTGTGACTCTTGGCTGATTCTCTATTCTAAGAGCCTCTCATTTTCTGTCAGGCAGACATACCGCCAGGACAAAATGAGCTGATACTTATCTCTGTAGACAAAATACTGCAGAGGCCAGTTATTAAATCAGGCCTGCGTCCAGAAGAGAACACTGGGAGGTGCCAAGTATTGATTTTGTTTTATCAGTTAATGCGATGCACACATGGCTCAAACCCATGAATGCAGCTACACACAAACACACATTTATGATGCCGGCCTTGCTCCCTCTTCCTTCTTCTTTGTTGACGCTGCTCCCTGACCCTCTGCCTCTCCTTCCTCAGAAGGCTTTACGTCCCCCAGCCAACATGTCCTCCCCACTGTGCTGGTCCTGTCCCTGCTGCTGCTCATCATCGCGCTACTGGCCTGGTACTTCCTCAGGTAAAGTCTCCCATTCACCTCACCCCCTCTCTGGGCCTCGCTGACTGGCTGTGAGCCAGGCTCGGGGGCAGAGCTCAGGGTGACAAACACTTCCTCCTTTAGTCATCGAGGCGGAGCCCAGTCAGGAAGGGCTGCTAGCTGACTCCCTGTCATGCTTAGTGAGAGGAGAGCAGGCTCTGACAGCAGACCTAGACAGGCAACAGAAGAAAACCAAGAACAAATTCTGTATCACATTCGGAATAGAGAACCGTCAATCCGCTAATGAGAAAGAGTGGCTTTTCAAGTTTTAGATGGTAGGATGTATAGATTTTTTTGATGGCTACCTATTTCATTTGTAATGTTGGGAGGTGTGATTCCTTTGAGTTGAACTTACTTCTCATTGTATTGCATTTATTTATTGACAGGGTGAAGAACCAGAGAAAAGCAGTCGTCACAACAGTTGACAAGAAGATACCAAATGGCATCCTGGAGGAACAAGGTAACGTTGTAGATAAGACTGTGTGAAGGAGATTGTGAAAGCAACAGGCTGTCAGGAAAAAAGCATGGTTGGAGCTTAAAGTAGATATACTGAAACATGCAGCATAGGTTCATACAGAAGCAAACAGGCACTATTTTTATGTTTGTAACTGCAGATGCAGGTTGTCCCCCCACAGCTTTGTGGTTGTGTACTTCCTGTGGTAAATGCGACAAACAATTCGGCATCATCTTCACTACTTTTCACAGACTTTTGTACACTGCATAGAAAATAAGTATACACAGTTAGAGGTGCAAAGATCACAGAAGATGTTGGCTTTGAGGCTGCATTGTTGAAATTAAATTATGAGCTGTGTGAAATATGCTTCCAGCTTTCGGCCTCACAGGAAACGACTGGTCTTGAGGAGCTGCGAGTGTTCTTTAGGAAGTATTTTCTTATCTGACAATTACAATAGAAAGTTCAGAGGGGTTGTATTCTCTGCAGATAGGAATGTAGCGAGGATATATGGCTGGAATACACGCCACACACACACACACACCTAGAAGTAGCTGTTACAAACACTGAGTACATGTCAAGGTATTAGCCAAGCTGCTTATTACTATGATTGCAAACATGACACATGGTCATATGAGAGTGACGTTATATTTAATGTTCACTTTGAGTTTTCCGTGCTGGGAAGCACGACAGAATATGTTCAGACATAGATATATAGACTAACAATTACATGAAGTCAACATTTGAATAATGTCAGGAAGTAGATGAAAATGTTTACAATTTCTGTTGTAAGGTGGTTCTGATGTTTAAGGAAACATGATGTTAAATGACGGTATTGTTTGTGTTTTGCCTTTATGACTGATGTGACATGTGTTGTGTTTTAGAGTTTGGATACAGTTCTGAGTCGTTATACACCACTGTGCCACCAGGTCAGGTATACAGGGTGGCGGTATCAGAGGCCTCGTGTTACTAACACTCTCGCAGTACTTTTTTCAACATCTATTTTCTAAATTATGAGTGCTAACTGAATGCTTAGTCGGGTTCTTTGGAGAGGTTTTATTCAGAAACAAGTGGCTTCTCCCTGGGGTGCTTTGATTCTCTAACAACTGTTGATGTTTTTGGTGATCTTCGAATACTCACACTCCTCTTTTGAAATGATCAATTTGTTGGCACACATGCAAACATGTCATACAATTTGAAATCAGTTGTAGAGCAAATTTGTGTCATATTATTTTTAATTAAATATTGTGTTCCGGCCTACAAATTATATTCTAGAGACATGAGAAACAATCTCTTTTTGGTAAAGATCCTTGCAAATATTACATTTGTTATATATTTTTCAATTAAAATGAGATGCAACATTTAATTATATTACAATAGCATAATCCGTTTTTTTGAAAGACAATTTAAAACATTTATTTCAAACTAATGAATGAATTGTTTGACTTATTAGCTATTTTTTTTAAATTAATGGTTCAAATATAATTCTGCCACTCAAAGTTATGGAAGTAAAAATGAAAACAAGCTAAACACTGACCGCTGAATGCAGACATTCTTAACAATCAAATAATCAGTAGTGTTATATATCAATCACTGGTGATGTTTTCAGCTGACAGTGCTTTATGGGTACATTTAGTTGTGAACCATTGGTCTAATTTAACCCAAATCCTGTTATAGATCTTTTAATAACAAATTAAAATAACATTATTTTCTTAAAAAAAACAAATATTTCAACAAATTATTCTTCAAATCTGAGTCCAGCAGAGATCATTAACCCACATACTTTTCTCCCCACAGAGCAACAGACGGTGGTCCTTCTGCCCAGATCCCCCTCAGCCTCTAAGACCTACTTCCCCATCCCCGTGGAGCACCTGGAGGACGAGAACAGGGTCCGCTCCGCCGACGATGGGAAGCTCTTCAGGGAGGAGTACAATGTAAGCATCCTCCTTTCTCCTCCTGACGGTCACAAAATAATGTGAAAAGACAGAGTTGGCAGGTTTCCCTCAATTGCGATGATTGTTCATGTGGAGGCAAAAAATGCAGACATGCGTTTAATTTGTATTCAGGAAAACTACTGGAGTTACATGTGTCACAGTGTCCATAACAAATACTGTACACATATACCCGCACACGCATAAAAGAAATACCCTATTTGGTTATTTATGGCTATGACTATGAGTCAAGTAAAGCTTACAGTATAACTCATGGTTCATGTAACACATTTAAAGTATGCTCTTATCCAGACAGTGTGTCAGTACAGACAGAGGAAGTTGAAGTTCTCTGCATTTAATAGGGGAATGTTTACTGTAGGTAGCAGAGGAAGTGCCTACATCGAGGCTGAACAAAGCTTTACGTACAGCAGAACACAATGCACCGGGCCGTGAGTAGTTACATGTCATTATGGGAGGTTGTGTAGAATCTAACTGTGATTTTCTTATGCAGTCCTTGCCTGGGGGGAATGCCCAAGGGACGTATGAGGAGGCGAACAAGGACGAAAACAAGGAGAAGAACAGATACCCCAACATCCTTCCTTGTGAGTTCACTTTCTGTTCTGCAGAACTTCACTCGACTCACACCCAGAGCTCACAGTTTCCTGCCTGTGTGCACGTGTCTTTGAGTCTTTTTTTCTTCTCACAGTTCAGACAGAGCAGATCCTCCCCATCAGCTCATCTGTTATTCACTATGAAAAACCTCGGTCCTGATTGTTTCACCAACATTCTTCCTTTTTTACAGTTGCACTTCCTATCACTTATCTTTCTCTCATTATGCATTCATTGCAACAAACGGCAACATTCTGATCCTTATAGAGTCAATGTACACCAAAACATTCATATGTTTCCCATTAACCTGTTCAGTTCACACCAAAGAAATCTAGATTGATAAATACGCATTTTTCATTTCCGGGCTTAACTGCCCTTTTAAATATGAAAAAATAATTGAAAAACTGATGTTATTTCTGCAATAAACATGTGTAGCGTAAGCAACAAAATGTCTAGATTGTCTCTGTCAAAAGCTAAAAGAAAACACCAGCACTTCGAAATTTCACAAATAAGTATGTTATATCTTAATTGTTAATCTTTACAGTAGCCTGATGTCAGTTGGCTGTTTCAAAGGAGTTTATGTGCCGCACTTTGTTTGGCTTAAGCACATGCCAGGCAACCAGGGGAGACTCCTTTCCCCATATATTTATAGTCTTTATGGAGGAAGTAGCTTCATAGTGGCGTCTAACTTGATGCGATGATTGTGTTTAATGCTCTTTATGCTACAGTATGTGCACTGATAGAGTGTTTAATCAGTTAAGTTACATACTCAGTATTGTTGTTCTGCTGTTACCCTCTAAACAGATGATCATTCCAGAGTGGTGTTGACTCAGCTAGATGGAAATCCCTGTTCGGACTATGTGAACGCTTCTTACATTGATGTGAGTTTTGCTTTTTAGTTTTTCTGTTAAACAACTTCACTTGCCAAAATGGCAACAATAACTGTGGCATATTAACAATTTGTCCTCCTAATTTCCTATAATGGTTGGTTGGTCACGGCAAGGTACACTTTCATATTTATTCTGAACTTTGGATCATATCCAACAATCAGTTTGCCCAGTCATACTTTTCCTTAATGTTGGCTTGAAAATTAAGATTAAAAGTAATTAGACTTTTACCATAGAAACCGCATTTGAAGAGACAGTGTCCCCTCAAGGTTCATTAGTATCTTTTCTGGTCCATATTTCTACATTTTTTTAATTCATTTTGTCTTCAACAGGGTTACACGGAAAAGAAAAAATTCATTGCAGCACAAGGTAAGATATAGCGAGCTTATACTTTACATGATGCATACTTATGTAGATCTTTATAATTATTTCAAAGTCTAAATAAATCTTGTAATATTACCATCATATTGTCTTACAGGTCCAAAAGAAGACACGGTAGCAGATTTCTGGAGGATGATATGGGAGCAGAAAGTAGCGACTGTTGTTATGCTGACAAATCTTAAAGAAAGGAAAGAGGTAAGTGATTTGGCGTTGTTTTTTTCTGAATGTGTCTCTGCTCTCCTGTTGTCCTACGAGCTCCAGTGTTTGTTATTGTTCGAGCCTGTGAAGGGGACAAGCGAAAAATCAGAGTTGTCTGTATGGATTAATGAAGCATCAAGATGATTTGAAAATCCAAATTGATTTCATTAGTAATGGTCAAAGGTGAGACCGTGGATTTAATTAAAAATGATTAATTTCACACCTGTAATCTCCCCTCTGTTTTCTGCTTTAATTGCTCAGTCTTTATAGTGAACCAGAACTCCCTCACTGAACAAGGAGAGAGGATAGAAAGATCAATAGGAGGAGAATTGGTGAAGATTTCAATCAGCACGTGGACACTTTAAAATCCATGACTACATAATGTGTAATGAAGTCCTACAGTATACAGCACTATCATAATCACCCAGCATTGTCTTATATTGAGTGGTTTCTCCCCTCTCACTTATACTGATCTAGACTGACTGGCTGTGGAATTGAATCACAAGAGCCTTTAGTGTAGCTCAGCTTTATGAATGCCATTGTTTTGCTTGCAAAGAAACTCCTTGAATACATGTTAAGTCATGACTGTCTCTCTCTACAGGACAAGTGTTACCAGTACTGGCCAGATCAGGGCTGTTGGACCTATGGGAGTGTGAGGGTGGCAGTGGAAGACTTCACTGTTCTTGTGGACTACACCATCCGCAAGTTCTGTATTCAATATGTAAGTGTCATGCGGTGACATGAAATAACTGTGCTTTATAGGAAATTGACAGGAACATGGGTGAAGTTCGTTAAAGTGTGAAGCTCAGTTCCTTTTTCATAGTGAGTCAACTAGAATATTTCAGTAGTAGCTGTGAATGTCTATCATTTCTAAATAAAGAAGCTGTCCCCTTTTGTCAAGTCTCAATTGCAACAGGAACTGTTATCATATATATCATGTGACCTATCACAGATGTCAAATTTGCAGTGCAGGTGTTGTAAACGGTGTCTGTCTGCGTCTGTGTCTCTGTGCAGCAGGCCAGCGATGCTGCTAAGACTCCCAGGCTTGTCACCCAGCTCCACTTCACCAGCTGGCCCGACTTTGGAGTTCCTTTCTCCCCCATCGGCATGCTGAAGTTCCTCAAAAAGGTCAAGGTGGTCAATCCACCCTTCTCTGGGCCTATTGTGGTCCACTGCAGGTACCAGAACACTGAGATAATACATCATTGTTAAGTGTTGTTTACTAGATTCATGCTTTTGCTACATTCCTCTGAAATTGTTTTAATCATTCAATGTGTTTCTATGGAGACAATTAAACATTGAGTGACCATAACAATACATGTTTACGAGCACAGATGTCCCTTTGTTTACCTGCTGTTGTCGACTAACAGATGTTGTTTTGTTTCTCTGCAGCGCTGGTGTTGGGAGGACAGGAACCTTCATCGTAATAGACGCCATGATCGACATGATGCACGCAGGGCAGAAAGTTGATGCGTTTGGGTTTGTTGCTAAGATACGAGAGCAGCGATCACAGCTTGTTCAGACAGATGTGAGTTGGAAACAAGTTCCCCTTTTTTTTTACCACATGACATTGAACTCATACTTGACAGTACATTCTCATCTGTGAAATGTGCCTCTGCATAGTGTTTGTGTTGATTTGTTTGTGTGTTCTCTCTCCAGATGCAGTACTCCTTCATCTACCAGGCCCTGCTTGAATACTACCTCTACGGAGACACGGAGCTGGACGTGTCGTCTCTGGAAGGACATCTGCACAAACTGCACAACACATTCACAACCGGTGACCGGGTCGGCCTAGAGGAAGAGTTTAAGGTAAACAGATTTATTTACTGTTTGGTTTGTTAAAGATCACATTTAATCACAACAGAATCAGAAATAGCTTCAATACCAGGAGTTCTTTATTTAAAATGGCTTCTGAATTATAGTATACAAATCCATACTATAGAAATGATTGAATTCACTATACAGAATAAAACACTACATTTTTTATTCAAATATATTTTTACCAAAAAAAACCTGCACAGAAAACAAACTGTCTCTATAATCATCAAATAAGACAGGATTATTTCCAGCCTGGGCTTTTCACTACTTTCCATCTCCTTTATAGATGCTTGTCACTTAATAACAAAAACTAAAACAATTCATAATACTATGATATGATTATAATAACACCTTTAATACAAGAATTGCAGTTTTAAAGTGCTTCACAGTAGACATCTCTTTAAATACTCACAGAAAATGTATATCACAGAATACAGTTACCAGTAATAGACATGTAAAAAATACATTTAGATTAAAGTTACAACGATAAAATTGTGCATTAAAGGAGGATAGTGCAAATAGAACACAAAATCAGGAGACAGGTTAAAATGCATTGAGAGCAGGAGTTAGCTTCCTAAAACAAGCTAAATTGTACAATTATGTTTTGAGCTTCTATTTTTGTAAAGACCGAGCAGGCTTCCCTGATGTCTATAGGTGTTTTGTTCCATAGCTTTGGGGCATAATAACTCCCCCAGAACCGTTTCAGCTGCGTGTGCATATTAAAGTGTATCTTTACCTACAGTACATATACACACACAAGCCTAGTGTTGCCTTTTGCACGTACTGTATACAATTGCAAACATGCCTTGTGAAAAAACTGAGAAAAGATGCCAGAATCAAATGTATGTATTGTACTTCGAAAGTCTTATACTCTAAACTTAATCAAATTTAAGAATTGTATTTTGCTATGGTCATTTGTGAGCATCAGGATAGTGAACATTTGACGATTTGTAACACTCCGTTTGCTTCATTTGTGCCCAGAAACTGACCAACATGAGAATAATGAAGGAGAACATGAGAACAGGGAACCTCCCTGCCAACATGAAGAAGAACAGAGTTCTGCAAATTATTCCATGTAAGTAAATAACAAAACCATAGAAGAGAACAGATTGGATGTCTGTTCCACGTGTCAACTTTTGACCTCCAAATGTTATTGTCTGTCACGATATTTGGAATCTTAACATGTTTTTTCAATCGTGTGCGTCGTGGAATTCAATTTCCTCAGAGAGCCACTCGGCCACTTTGTGAACTTGATACTTTGTGATGATGTTTATAGGTCGCTTTATTCTAAATGTCTTTAAAGGCTTCCCTGATTCACTTCCATTTCAGATGACTTCAACAGAGTCATTCTCTCCATGAGAAGAGGTCAGGAGTTCACAGATTACGTCAACGCGTCTTTTATAGATGTAAGCCCTCTTTTTTACCTAACCCTTTCCTTCTTGCATTTATAAATGGGATAGTTTTGCTATTAAAAGCATTTCTAGAAGCTGAAGGAGCATGTGTTTTGCTTCGACTCAGGGCTACAGACAGAAGGACTACTTCATCGCCACCCAGGGCCCTCTGACACACACAGTGGAGGATTTCTGGAGAATGGTGTGGGAATGGAAATGTCACTCCATTGTAATGCTGACGGAGCTCCAGGAGAGGGAGCAGGTGAGCAGTGATTAATGGCTTCAGCACAGACTACAGCAGCAGTGCAGCATAAAGCATATTCCTGTTCCCTGCTTCTTTCACACAGCTGTACTTTATCTCAGTTCATGTTTGTGCAGTCTTTCAAGCTTTTAGCCAAAACTACTTCAGAATATTCAATTTACATTCCATGTATTAAATCAAACGTATTGCTTGCAGTAAATCAACACTTGTATCTGTTTGTCTGTCGTTGCAGGACAAATGTTGCCATTACTGGCCAGCAGAGGACTCTATCACCTACGGAGATTACAAAGTAGAGTTGAAGGGAGACACTTTGTGTGACACCTTCAGTCTACGAGACTTGGTACTCACCTTTGTGCCGGTAAGCAAATTAAAGTTAAACTCACACTATCACACTACTGTTAAAGAGGCAGTTAACAGCTCATTACACATTTGCCTGTCAGGATAAAAGACCATCTTCTGTATTTATTCATGCGAACCCATTGAGCCTTCGTTCTTTTTCAAGGAATGCAAAACCATCTTCATCATGATAAATTGTAACTACACAAACCATGATCGAGTAAGATTGTATCCCAAATTCCACTTTACATTTATGATTTTTCTCCTATTAAATTATTTATAATGACTTCCAGGGGTGAAAGAATGATTCATCATTTACTCAAGAAAAAGTGTCAGTACCCCAATTTAAAAATAATGCATTACTTACCATTTTAAATGCAGAACTTCAACTTCTAAAAGGAAATTAAAAAAAGGTATAATAAAAAGGGAAAAGTACTTCTTTAAGTGATATATTATTAACATTTTATTTGTAGATGTTTCTATTAGCATTTACCTGCTGATAATGATCCTCTCAAAACAGTCACAGAGAATAATGAGATGATTAATGGGATTTTATCTTTCTAATCTTTGCATTGTTGTGATTTGATAATGTTATTATTTGATAATAATTATTTGATAATAATAATAATAATCTCTTTTAGCCTTCAAGCGTTGTATAAAGTATAACGTTTACGTACACAGGATCTAACATAATCGTCTTATAAGCAAAAAGCAAAGTGAGTCGATGAAACTCTTGTGGCTGCCAGAGGAAATGTGGTGGGCAGGATGTGTTTAGGATTATTGAGTGGGAGATTCCTATCTCATATTTCATTACATTCGACCCACATCCCCTCTCAGAGGCTCAGTACACTGCTGCCTCCCTGTGCAGCACCCATCAGCCCGGCACTAATCTACTGCACACTTAACCTCCACCGACATTGCACCTGCCATTATGCTTTCATATACTACTGATGAATCATATTTAAAACGGTATTATGATCTCTCTTCCGTCCATTTCCTCTCATAGGAGAAGCAGACCAGGGTGATCAGGCACTTCCACTTCCACGGCTGGCCAGAGGTCGGCATCCCGGCCGAGGGGAAAGGCATGATCGACATCATCGCCTCGGTGCAGAGACAGCAGCAGCAATCTGGCAACCATCCCATCGTCGTACACTGCAGGTAGCTACTTAAAGGGCACCTATTGTGCAAAATCCACTTTTTTCATGTTTTTTTATAAATCAACATGTGTCCCCTCTGCATTAAGAGATTCTGAAAGTTTCAGGAAAAAAAATTGGCTCTCTTTTTGTCCTGATCCATTTATACAAAAACCTGTGAAAATGAGCTGATCAGATTTTGATGTCATAATGTTTTTTTGGGTTGTGTAACCATTAGCCAATAACCAACCAAGGTTTTTAAACCATTTTTAAATCAACACTAAAAACTCACTTCTTCTCCCTGGCCTTCTAGTCAGAGCGGAGCACGACTCATGACTTTTCCCTGTGTTTGATTTTTATATTTGCTGTTGTAATTTATTGTCTTCTGTTTGTGACTGTAGTAATGTGTTATTTGCATATACAGCACTTTGGCTCGACCAAAAATCGTTTTTAAAATGTGCTATATAAATAAAACCTGATTTGATCTGATACAAGGTTACACCCCCCCAAATTTGGTATTTGGAGTCAAACACTTCAGAGACATGTTTTGATGAAAAACAGTATAATACGGGACCTTTAAAACAGTCAGATGATGTATTTGCAAGCAACTGTTTATGCATGAATTGAGTTGAGTTTTTGTGTGTGCTGCAGTGCTGGTGCAGGGCGAACAGGTACGTTCATTGCACTGAGCAATATCCTGGAGCGAGTCAAAGCAGAGGGCCTGCTGGACGTGTTCCAAACTGTGAAGAGTTTACGCATGCAGAGGCCTCATATGGTCCAAACCGTGGTGAGTATTTACATCAACTGGATCCAAAATGTAGTGCATAGAATATTCCTCACCTCATGTTGATGTTTAGCTTGACTGAAAATCAATTTGACAGACTCCTAATCCACTTTTATTTTTCTCTTTATTCCATAGGAACAATATGACTTCTGCTACAGGGTGGTACAAGACTTTGTCGACATTTTCTCAGACTATGCCAATTTTAAATGACGAGATTTGCCTTAAACATGGTTTTTAATGTTGTTTTCTAAAGCTGGTTTGTCAGTTTTATGGGTTTCTTTAACTCAGTCAAATGATCTATTTTGCTATGCACTTGTCCTTCCATTAACTCCATCCTCGCTGTAATATAATGTATGTCAGTTGACGAAAATTGTAAATGAAAAAAGTTAGATTATTAATGTATATTTCACATCATGTATGATAATTAATTTGTCATGAAGTGTTGGTCTCTTATTTCAGTTATGTTGTATAATACTGTACTTCAAATGTTTATCTAAGTGTTACTTTGACCATGTAATATTTTTAAAAGTTGTACTTATTGTAAATGTATTTATGTATTGACGATGACATTCCATTCTTGAGTTTGGAGAACATGACGGGAATGTTAAGATATTTTTTAGTTTTTATGTAAACATACCGTACATAATTTCATTTATTGATGACTTCTATCTGAGATTGGAGGCGATACTGAAACTATATGCCCATCACGAATGCGATACTCTTTCCAATGGAAATATTTTCAGAAAAAGAATGAATCACCACAGCCATATTGCAGAAAACATGAATTTATGCAACAGAGGTGGAGGTGACAATACTGGAGTTAAATTCCTACGGATAGATTCAGGAAGAAGTTTCTCTCACAGTCATACAATAACATTTAACTGGTTTTGTACCTCAAAATAGTGGTATGCAACTGCATTTAACATGGATGTAACAGTCTGCCTTTTCTCTGTAGACAGCAAAAACAGTTTTGCTAAAATGACTGCACATTCAAAAGCACATATAACTAAGCCTTTTGCCAAGAACCTGCAATTTCCAAGAGTTTGTTTATTGCTTTATATAATAGATTTTTCACAAATCAGTGCCATATGTACTTTTTGTAAGACATGGAAAAGTAGAACACCTATAGAGTGAAGGCCAAGCAATGAAAGGTGATCTTAGGGAAAGGTAAGTGTGGGCTATAAATGCAGTAGAGTTGGAACGATTTATTGACAACCTGTTTCAGATGCACTGTAAACGCATAGTCAAGTATATAAAGTGCTACATTAGATAAGACATGTTATGGTAAAACCACACGTGGTGCTTCAGTGCCTGCTTTATGGCAGAGAAAAAAAAGTACTATCATTGTTCAGTCACTTTTTGGAATACCTTGTTTTTTCGCATGGGTTAAAATGAGGAAGCAGAGTTTTTCATAGAAAAGCATCTAGTGGTTGTTTTATTTATAGGGAAGCATCTGAATATGACACTGCTCCCGATTCATCTGGTACTCAAACATTAACACAACATTTGGAATAATTTCACCCAGCTCTGATCGAATCCTTAAAAAACTGTTAATGCTGTTTGTAGATACTACATGAAAAAGTGCTAACATCAAAATGGCTGAGCAGCAAGGGACTGTCAAGTCATTGCTCATTTTCTTGTGTGCTATATGTCTGTGGGAGATGTGCAGTGAAGTTAAAGAAGAGATTTGACAAAATAACCCATAGTCTATTAAACCACGGTTTATTTTCTGTCTCTCACTTCCTGTTAAGAGTATGGAGGAGGGTCTGTTTAGACCACAGCTCTTTGCCTTTGCTCTCTGTGGGTGGTCTATATCCATTTTTGGATTCTCAATGTCTTTCAAATGCAAGTTGCAATATTAAATTCATCTAAAAATGCTTTCGGGGTCAGTCACAGTTTTCTTCAGATGCATTTGAAAAAAAAATCATACAGGATGTCAAATTATATAGTTATAGTATAGCATGCAATACATAAACAGTCATACTAATATAATACAGTAAATACGGAACATAATATAGTATGTCGTAAATATAGGAAAAAGCTACAGTGTGTTGAAAATATCAGATACAAATCGTCTGTGTAAAGTATGTCGAAAGCAACATAAAACAACATAGTATCGGACATCGACAATATATGGAGAGTCGTCCTAGTGTGGTATGTATTCTAAAGCAGCAGAAAAAAACAACATAATATAGTATGTTATACTAGGGGTGGGCGATATTGAAAAATATATTATCACGATATTTTTCAAGCAGTATCACGATAGACGATATATATCACGATATTTTTTCATGTCGGTTATTATGGTTATTTTTCAAGTTACTTAACAGTACAAGCACCTACAAGGTAACAGAAACTAAAACAAAAAGGAGTAACAGACCAAAATAGCATTTCAAGCTGGTTTTATTTCTGAAATGAATCCCTGAATGAACAATTCAACATTTTGATATGGCTTCAAGGCACAGTTTCTCAGTATAAAAATGAACTTTCTGAGGTAGCACTAGCAGGGGATCGTGTCCGTCTCTGTGGCTTCAGGCTTGATCGCCGTTCAAATGACAGTTTTAATGATCTCAATGGGAATGGTTAGCGTTTCATATGCACGCAAATAAAATTAAATATAAGCCAACAGAATCAACCAAGACAATAAATGAAGTGCAATACTGTCTGAATCCTGACTAGACAGCTTTAGAGTATGTCTTTCACATCAGTTTCTTTTTTTTATAGTTTTTTTTTTTTTTTTTATCACGATAGATACCATATCTCTGAAAAAGCATATCGTGGAGACCTAATATCGTCACGACGATATATATCGTCATATCGCCCACCCCTATGTTATACTATAAAAAACAAAGTGTCAGAGAAAAGAAACGACAAAGTAAAAAAAGTTATAATATTGTATGATGAAAATATATTTTAAAACTCATAGTATAGTTTGTATATCCAAATAAATTATTAGGAAAGAAACGTCGCAGTAAAGTAATTCTGAAATGTAAATGCAAGTCTAGCATTTCGCAAAAAAGTCATAGTATCGTATATAAAAAATATATTGGGAAATATGAAAACAAATGTAACTGTGTCAAAAACATTGCTACAAAGTCCTTCCTTATACAGTAGTTGGCCGAAATATCATGAAGAAAGTGTTACTATAGTGGAAAAAATGATAAAGTCACAGTATATTCGGTGGAAAATAGCTTTAAAGAATTCAAAGTCAAAAGTATCCTTAAATTCCCCAAGCAGAGAAAATAGGTGATTTGGTTAAACAACATTACTGACTGTAAAACAACAAAAGAAAAACTCAAGCACAGAAACAATGAGGTTCAGTGTTTGTTTTCTGTATCCAACAGTGGTGTGCACACTTTCATTCTGGTCAATAAAAACACTAGGACTAAGTCACCACTAAATGTACTTAAAAATATCATTGTAATAAATCACCTGTGATCAAGGCATTTATTGACCTGTGCAAGTATTTATTTAAGCCAACAGGGGGCAGTGCACATCAATCTTAATGTAGAGGAGCAACGTTATTAATGATAAGGGGAAACATCGACCTTTAATGTTATGAAGTTTGATGTCCTGTCATTCAGACAATCTGGAATAACCACATATGCCGACAATCAGAGAAGGAGACCATTGTGATGATGTAGTCAAGACAAATGCTGACGCTGCTGTACTGATGGTGAATATTGTAATAACTCCTATGTCACTATTTTAAAACTGTCAGATTACAGAGAATCATAAAAGTAATTGAGTTGCGTTTGCTCAGAACACAAGATCGGAAATTGTGAAACGACCCCATTAGACTAATCAAAGATGTCATAACCAATGATAAATTGCTATAATAAAGTTATAGTATTAAAGTATTCTATGATTGCAATTCACAAAAAAAATCAGAGTATAGTATGTCATGAAAAAAGTTCCAAACATGTCAGAGTATACTATCATAAAAAAGTAAAATAAAGTGGTATTGGTATAGTTTGTCATAGAAAGTTTAAAAGTATTGTAAAGTATGCAATGAAAAGTTATAGTAAGCAAAACAAAACAAAAGTCATTGTATAGTACGACAAGAAAAGTATAGAAAGGTCAATTCATAGTATTCCCTAAATATAATAAAAATGTATTTTCTAGTATTCCTTAGGAAAAAATTAAGATGGTCATAAAAAAGTCGTGGTAGAGAAGGATCATTTAAAAAGTGCTCTTAATGCCTTATATGAAATATTAATAATTTAAAAAAGGTCACTTAAAGTATTAAATGCCATTAAAGTCTTAAAATAGATTGTCAAAATAGTACTAATAATACTATTGTATAATAACAATAGTATGCCATAAATTAATTAAAACAATATTATTAAAACAAATTCTTAAAAAAGTATACTGTCACATGATACATGTTCAAAACAACAACAATGGACCTCCAACATCTGAACATAAAGATGTTGTTCAGTGATTGCCACCAGTCAATAACAGGGAGGAGTATATTTGAGCTATTTTTGCCCCAACAATCATGTTTCTCATCTTGCATAAAACCAAAGTGACAAAAAGCCTCTTTGTTAACAATTTCCATTTCCTCTGGGACCAGGCACCATGGTAACACTACTCAGCAGGATGGGCTGTAACCCAAAAAAGGTCATCATGAGTGAAGAGGTCATATGAATTATGTATTAACCCTAACTTACTCTCTTATTTAGATTGACCCCTGACTAATTATATGTTGTCATTCACAAGGCTTTCCGTTATTTGCGTAATATAATATGGAACATGAGCCATTTATTGGCCGGGTGGCCTGTGCTGTGACCCCTCTGCTGAAATGCTTTCATCTGTGACTTAGGAAACTAATTCCTGATATCACTGTGTGTATGTGTATTGGCAAGCAAGGTCTGTCATTTTTTCCTATACGTGCTGACATTCCTTTCACCGTCGCCTAGACTTACCAAGGATTCTAAAACACATGCGTTATAATGTACTGACACTTTCTGAAAAATGCATTTCATGAATGCACATAACAGACAATCTGTATTGTTTTAAATCAACATTTTCCCAATGTTTTTCACTTAAATCAAATTTCTCAGAAGGAAGAGTTGACCCCAAAACCCAAAATACCCATGATCTCTAATCCACGAGAAGATGCACACGTACTTCCGTACTTATGTGGTAGAAAGAAGATACTACATGAAACTGCTCACTATAAGGTCTGTGAATTATTTGGAGTATGCAGTTCATCATTTCTGAAAAGAGACAATGCTGTTCAGTCTTTTTTGGTGCTTCGAGCACCGCAACAAGAATACCATCACATCTCTACAGCCGATATGTCCAACACTTGACAGCTCACACCAATTATAGAAATAAATGTCTCTTTAAAAATGAATCAATCCACACTTTCTCCAGAGAACAATTGGTTGATGGGATATCTCTGGAGCAAAGACATGGAACAACAAACGTTATCCAACATACAGCCTACTGCTTACAGGCTTAAAACCAAACACTCACTGTATTTACCTAAAAAGTTAAGAAAAACGAAGATACAAGTGTCTGAATATTTTAAACTGTATATATGCTACAGATGCGTGTGTCAAGTTGTGATTTGGTTTGTTTGATTGACTCCTGCCTAAACTTGAAAATGGCTTGATTCACTCCAAAAGGACAACTCAAATTTGAATCTTTCCTCTTTGCTCCATTCAGCCTCTTGTTAGCCTCCTGATGCGTTGAAAACCAGCAGCGTCTTGGTCGAATCTTTGAGTCTCTTCTCCTCTCTCACAGCGAATGGTTTGTCCTCTGCTGCGAGTGTGCATCCACAGGTGCCTTGCATTAAGCTCATTAAATAGGAGGCTCACACTCTTCCTTTGCACCACATTCTCAGTGGAATCACAGACACTAGGCTCCCTGTCTCCACCTGCTGGACTGGAGCCAGATGTTGAATTGCACTTCTCAGGCTCTGACAAAACACCTCCCACTTGAGCTCCTGGTTCCTGAACACAAGGAGGTCACAACACTTTTTCTATTGAAGTTACAGAAAATGATTCACTGCTGATGAGTTTGGTGTATTGTACTATTTCCCAGTCTGATCATCATATGTGTTGTTCTTGCTTCCAGCATTTTGCTCTTCAATGGGAAGCAGAACCACTATGCGCCGGACGTCTCTGTGAAGTACTGTGGCAGGGGTTTTAGTTGAGAGTTTTTTGTTCGTCCCCACAACTTTTCTCCTGGCGGGCTGTTCAATAACCTTTTCCGATGGGACTGGGTAGTTTGGAAAGGTGCGGACATTTACATCTCTCACTATGCCCTTTCCATCGGTGTTAACACCAGGGGTGAAAGTGATTTGAATTTCTTGCAGGTACTATAATGCTACCCCAACCTTCATTGGTTCATATTGTTCTCCTCCCGCCCCCAGCTTCATGCATCCCTGAACACAAACTTCACATTTTTAATGCCTTTATGGGATAGAAATTAGAAACACTTGACAATATGTATAGTCAATTATTTATTTTCAATTGTGCATACAACTTGTGTCAAAACTTAACAGACCATTAGCAAGGCATGTTGAGGGAGGTAAACTACACACTTTTCCAACGATCCAATTTATGTTATGACATGAATCAAGACGGAACTAGTGATGGGAATTCCGGCTCTTCTTGGTGAGCCGGATCATTTGGCTCGGCTCACCAAGAAGAGCCGGCTCTTTCGGCTCCCAAACGGCTCTTCAGTTTACCACTTATTATACCTTTTAATTAAATCAAATGTAGCCCTGTTTTGACTAATGATTTATATGTGTACACACATATATCACTTAAATTATTCAATACATCCTTTGTACTGAAGTATTCAAAAGTAAAAATTACATGTTTAATATAAATGATTTGCTGTGGCCAATTGTTTTCATTGCA